CTAAAACAATTGAGGATATTTAGCTTTCATCTCTTCTTCTGGTTCCCATGTCATTTCTGCGCCTTTATGAAATCTCCACTTGACTAATACCAAAGGTATACTTTTGTTTCTTAGTCTTTTCGTCTTTTTATCTAGTATATCAATTGGCTCTTCCACGTAAGCGAGTTTGTCGTTAACCTCGATGTCTTCCAGATCCAGGACAGTCGATTCGTCAGCTAAACATTTTCGCAAGTTTGACACGTGGAAGGTATTGTGAATACTAACTAACTCCTTTGGTAGTTTCAACCGATAAGCAACTGCTCATACTCTTGCAGTTATCTCAAATGGTCCGATGTACCTTGGACTTAACTTACCTTTCTCCCAAATCTCACGACCCCTTTCCATGGCGATATTTTCAACAAAACCTTATCACCTACTTGGAATTCCAAAGGTCGACGTCTTCTATCCGCGTAGCTCTTTTATCTATCTTGCGCAACCTTTAATCTCTCCCTGATCTGTACTATTTTATCCGATGTTTGTTGGACTAACTCGGGTCCAGCTAGTTGCCTTTCTCCGATGTCTGCCCAACAAATTGGAGTTCTACACTTACGGCCATACAATGCTTCAAATGGCGCCGCCTTGATGCTCGAATGGTAACTATTGTTATAAGCAAATTCTATCAATGGGAGGTGGTTGTCCCAACTACCTCCAAAGTCAATCACGCAAGCTCTCAATATATCTTCTAGTGTTTGTATCGTCCTCTCACTCTGGCCATCAGTTTGAGGATGATATGCGGTACTTAAGTTCAACCGCGTTCCCATTTCTTACTGAAAACTTGACCAAAACCTCGAAGTAAACCTAGCATCTCTATCTGAGACAATGGATATCGGCACACCATGCCTTGACACGATCTCGTTGACATAAAGTTGGGCCAATCTTTCTAGTGTATACTTGTCACTGATCGGTATGAAATGAGCAGATTTCGTTAGCCAATCCACAATTACCCATATAGCGTCGTGTCCCTTTACCGTCATTGGAAGCTTGGTGACAAAATCCATAGTGATCATATCCCACTTCCATACTGGGATCTCCATTTGTTGCAACATTCCAGACGGTCTTTGATGCTCGGTCTTCACCTTCAAGCACGTCAAGCAATTCCCCACATAGCTAGCTACTGCCCTCTTCATACCAGGCCACCAATAGCTTTCTTGTATATTCTTAAACATCTTATTACTACCTGGATGCATAGTATATCTAGACTTATGTGCTTCGTTCATCACCACATTCCTTAGATCTCCCAAACTAGGAATCCAAACCCGATTCCCGTGTCTATATATTCCATCCGGTCCAGCTGTCAAGGTCTTAATTCGTCCAATCATTCTCTCCTTTTTGATATTCGCTTCGAGTAAGGCTTCCTTTTGGACATCCCGTATTCGGTCTAGGAGTTCCATTTTAACACTCATTCACATGGCTCGAACCCTGATTGGTCCGCTTCTCTCCTTCCTACTAAGTGCGTCGGCGACTACATTCGCCTTACCTGGATGATAGTGAATCTCGCAATCATAATCCTTAAGTAGTTCCTCCATCTTCTTTGTCTCATATTTATCTCCTTTTGATCAAACAAGTACTTAAGGCTCTTATGATCAGTGTAAATCATGCACTTCGTACCGTACAAATAGTG